TTAGTTAAAGCTTTCTTGTTAAAATTTTAAAAACACAAAAAATATTAGACTCTTGCTTAGGATTTTAATTATTGCAACAAATTTTTGCAATTCACCCCCTCCTCTAGGCGATCTAGTAATTTCAATGATTATATATGGTTATTTTAAGGTTTAAAGGATTTTGGTTATCCATAGTTATCCATAGTCTACTAATGGTTCAATTGGGTTTAACCATATACTATTCAAGGTTTGAAAATATTTAGAGGATTTTGTGTGATTTTTGTAGGCTTTTATGAATAATTTAGGGTTTGAGGTTAAAGGCATCCTTTAATTATCAAAGTGACCAATGTTTATCAAATTAACCAATCAAAGGTGTCAATTTGATGTATGTATGATCATGTATAACAGCTCAATGTCTAGAATAGGAATCCATATCATAAACTGTGTAATTCAATATGATTCATACATACAAAGGATTTATGTTTAAAAGGTTCGAAAGATCAAACTAGGTTAGCCTGACTCAACCATGGTTAACCATGGATCAGATTAAATTAAATCAATGAAATGATCATTATGAACATGTTTTATGAGTTTTACAAGGCTTCCAAGGTAATTTATATCAAAATGCCATGTTTAGTTGCATAAGATATAAATATTGGAAAGTTTTATATGCTTGGAATATGCCTTAAGTTTTAGGGTTTAGAAGGATATGGAGGACTCCAAAATGGTATAGCATACTCTAAAAACTTACTTATTAAAAATGCAAATTGATATACACCATTTAAGAACCTTCATATAGGGTTTTTAATTAGTTGAAAATTCCGTTAGAATAGGAAAAAGTCCAAGGAAACTTTAGATTTGAACACTGTATTTTAAGGTTGATATGAATTTATATTTTATTTAGGAATTAAGTTTATGTTTGATTGAATAGTTTAGGATTTAAAATACTCAAATTATAGACAATAATTAGATGATTATCATTGATTGAGTAGCTAATTAAATGACCATCAATAGTAATTATCAAATGGCAGATTTAGGGTTCATAGGTTCAATCACCATGTAGAGCACAATGGAGATCTTGATTTAAATTTTGATGTGGATCTCAAGGAATTAAAAGTCAAGAGTGAGGCTTTAATGTAGGGTTCTGACCTCAGACAAAAATAGGTCAATAGTGCTTCTAAAAGATGGATCATGAATAGATATGATTCAACGAGAAATAAAAAATTGATATAAGAGATGGTCTTTAATACATGTTGTGCTTTAACTTCTCATAATGGAATGGAGTTTAACCATTTTTTGGAAGCAATATATTGCTATTAATACAATGATGTGACCTCTAAAGGATAGTAGATCAATCATGTCGATGATATACGGACCCCAACTTTCAAAAGTCTATAAAGCAATTATACGATGTCGAATATTTTGCAATTGATGAACTACACTATTCGCTTGTCACTGATGGAAATGACATGCAACATTCTTGCAATAATCCATCATTGATGACTAATAGTATCCCATAATCTAGCATGGATTTCTTCGACAATCTTCTGAGCTTCTAATTTAATGAGATAACATAAACCTATTTGGTCAAAAGATCTTTGATACATGATTCCATTTATTAGAATATATGAAAGTGATTTTCTTTTAATATGACCAGTAGTTTATTTTTCACGAGGGAATTTTCTTTTTCATAAGAAGTCAATGAAGGGTTGTCTTTAATCTACCACATAATCAAATCCCTCAAAGGGAGGAGAATTTTCATGAAGAATTAAATCAGGAAATTCAGATTTTAAAACTTGAATTTAATTTGGCTCACGGGGATGGAGGTAACTAGAAGACCACCTGCAATTTGAATTCAAAATCTGAATTCAAAAATCCTGGTATGGTGGAGGAAAGACGGGTAGTAAGAGCTGAAGGTGTTTATTCAACACATAATGCTGAAAATCATGATGACTTGGCTGAAACCGTGAAAGAAAACTGCTCCATTTCAAGAATTCAAAATTCTATTTTTGAAATAACACAAAGTATGGAGGTAGATAAGGTTGTTGAGGAGTTAAATCCAGATTTTTCTACATCAAATACAGCTAGACTAAATGTTGTTGGTCCATCGTATATGGATAAGATAGCTGAAGATTTGATCATTCAAAATCCTCAAACGATGGAGGCGGTTATGGAGAAGTTTGAGAAGGAGCAAATTTCAGTTTTGACTCCTTCTAAGGTTGCAATTACTTCTGATCAGGTTGCTGGATTTCAAGAATCTAACAAACCAGAATTCATTTTAAACAATTCAAATTCTCAAAAGGAAATAATGGCGACTGCTTCCAGCAATTATACTGAATTTATTTCAGCTTCTAAACCTAAAATAAAAAAAAGGTATAGACTTATTAAGAAATTCTTCTCCATTGTCGACAATTAATTTGAATTTTAAGAAATCTTCTCTTAAAAAAGTTGTTAAGGAGAGTAAGTCCCCGGGATCTAAGCACATTTTGTTCAAAGAACTACAAGCATTAGGACCGGTGAAAGAGCTACCTAGAAGGAAGATGTCTGAACTCAAAGTGAACAACGGTATCAAGGGTTCTTCTTCTCTTTTATCTAATGAAATATGATTGATAGTTATCCAGTTGACAACATCAAAGTGGATAGATAGTTGAAGATGGAGCAAATTATCAAAAGGTTTGGAGTTATCTTTCATTGATTCCTGACTTTGGATATTGGGAAAAGCTTATGGAATATCTCTCTATGATATTCTTAAGTGATTTTTGGATTTCTTTGATAAAATGTAATTTCCTTTTTAGATTTTGTTGCTTCTTTTCTCTTCAAATTTGATTTTTTAGACTTCTTAGAATTGATTATGGGATCATTACTAAGTCTTATTCTCCAACTGGATGGAAACTCTGGGATACTAATCAACCCTCGGGTTGTTTAATTCTTTGGTATCCTCAGCATCTCAACAGTTTCAAAATAGGAAATAGTGGGTTTCAAATCATTTATAATAAGTTTAGATTAACGAATTTATTTTCAATAATGTTCCTTTTTTTATTAAAAAATGAACCATTAGCTTCTTCTACCTAGTTTGTATTAGGTTGTACTTTCTTTTTTTATTAATGCAAAATTGCATTTTCTCAAAAAAAGATCATCATATTATTATATTATATTTAATATAATATTATATTATTATATATTATATTTTAACGAAACATTTAACATGACTCACAGACTTAGTTAGAATGATGATTTATTAATTTATAGATTATATTAATTTTTTACATGTTCGACTATTATATCAAATACTTCACATATAAACTGATCTAATTATTATCGAAACAAAAAATATAAATATTTTTTTTTTGGGACATTTAGGCCATTTAAGGCAAACTCACACACACAACGCATACACATGGACTCGAACCTTGGACCTCTTAGTTGGAAGCCTAAGCTCTCAACCAATAGGCCAAGGAGAGTTGTAGTGACTTAAATTATTAGGGACGAGATTATGTCCTGAGAATTTATAAAAAAATTAGCCCTAATAGCGGTCAAACAATTACTACAGGATATTATCCATCACCATTCACATTCATAACAGCGATAATTTTATTCATCTGCAAACAAATAAAGTAAAAATGAAAACCCGTACAATGCTTTCGATCTCGAGACCTTTATCACAATGCAACACCGCTAAGCAATCAGAAAACAAATTTAAGCACGCAAAAACTAAGAAAGCACAGCAAATCGAAGCAACCAAATCACATGGGCCCAGATAATAAAAGCCACAACAACAGCTGGAGGAACTACTTGACATGCACTTATTGGCTGATACCTTGCTTGACCAAGCAAATCCCAAGCAGTTGCCAACTAGTTATCATCTTCATACAACAACAAATCCGAACCGTTCATTTTATAAGAGCAGCCCTGCTGTCCCCATCAGCAGAAGAATCCGGGGATATATTATGTATGTGCACCACTCCTGATCGCTTAGTGTCAACGACTCAAGTCATTAAACTACGATTTTTGGCATATTGCGGCTTCTTAATCACTCTTAGTATTTCTTTAGCAAGAGATAACAATGAACTGCTAATAATTACTTAAAGGAATGGGCACCAGTGGATGCGATGTCACCATCGCCATAATCTACCGACGCATAAAGAGACGAGAAGCGAGCGTGACAAGTACGTCTTGCCCGGTAACTTACTGGTGGGGCACAATGTCTCATGATTCAAAAGCTCATGCCTTGTAATTACCACTATTAACTAATCTCTCTCTTAAACAAATCCCTAATATGGCTAGAAAACAAACTACTTGCAACAGCATCATTAAAGAAACGCTATTCCGTCCGCCATTAGAGTTGACACTCTAAGGAAGAGATAAAAAGATTAACAAAGTTTAATGTAGTTAGGCATGCTAGCATTACTAATAACCAAATCTGCATACAAAGTATTTGCTCCACATTGTATTTGTCAATATATGGAATTATAAACAATTCAAAATTCATGAAGATGTCGAGGTTTGTAATGTAAGAAAAGAAATCGGTTTTGGGCGGTAGATCACAGGTTAGGCCTGAGCTCTCGCGCTTTCGGCCAGGCATTTACTAGGCACCGCCACCTGTCAAACTATTCAGATGAACGAAACAGACGGCTGGGATCAATCAAATATTTTTTGGGGGAATAATTTTAATTTTTTTTAGCGCAAATGAATGAAATGATAAATAAAATATAAACATAAAAGACAAATAAAATAGAAAAAAGATATTGACCGAGCTGAGATTGATATGGGCAACCCAGGAATTGCAGCTCATCACTGCAGCCCGAGTTCCAAGGCCAGCTGGCCTGCAGAAGGGCACAGAGAAAACTGGAAAGTAAAATTTTTTTCAGGAGCTTTTGCTCGCGGCGCGCTGATACTAAAACTTGAATTAGTTAATATACACGCTCATTACGGAAAGAAAATAATAATAATAATAAATTTTAAAAAAAATTCAAAAATCATTGTCAAACTAATTATTTCTCAATAAAAAAATTTTTTTTTTGAACAAATCAATATGATTTTCTTTTATTTGCAGAGGCAAAATAACAATACGAATAAAATACAACTCGCCCCGTTAATCCCCCAAAAAAAAAAAAAATATTGTGAGGAAAAAATCCAAAACGTGGAAATAAAGGCGAAAATTACAGTAGAGTAAAAGTGAAAAATGCGAACGCACAATAATGAGTGTGACGGGTGCTGGTGGGTCAGGGGGTGGGGCCGTACAGGTCATAAGGAGCCCAAAGGGCGTCGAGCGGGCATGGCCGGTTAGAGTCGAACCGGGCCCATGGTTTGCCGGAGCCGCTCCAATGGAGGAGGCTCACCGGCCCAGGATGTAGATCACGGCAGCTTCCTCTCACATTATCACCTCCCAGTCCGTGCTGGTTCCATCTGTGCTCGATCGGCGCCACGTGTCCGGCGAATAGCAACAGGAACGGTGGCAGCGACCCAAGCTCGTATATTCGTCCGCCGGCGCCGTCACCGGCAGCGCCCTTTTGCACCTCCATCCACCGCTCAATCCGACGTGTGTAGCCAGAACGCCGCCACCGCTCAAGGTCAAGGACCATTACGCCGGTGTTGAAATAGCATGGCCGCCGGCCGGCAAAGGTGCCGGCGAGCTTTGGATCAGACCAAAACCGTTGGGTGAAGTACTTAGTGAAATTGGCATGGCAGTATTCCGGTGCACCCACCGTTCGTCCACGCAGGTCCGTCCTCCACAGCTTGGCTATGTCGTCGACTACGACAAGGTCAGAATCGAGGTAGATTACGCGGCGGACGCAGGTTTGGAGCATGTCGGCAAGGTAGTTTCGCGCGTAGTTGAGCGGCTGCTCGAGTGCCTGCCGCACGGACGTTGAGATCAAGCCTCTAACCCTCTCCGGATCGAAGTAGTATACCTTAAATCGGAGACGGGGGAACGCCGTACGTACCAAGGATTCAAGGCTAGTGTCCGAAACGAGAAAGTGGAAGAAGACGCTCTCCGGACAGAGGGAGTGCTGCAACACCGAGTGTACAGCGGCAATCGACCCGCGGAGATACTCCTCATCAAGAGTGATCGCGATGTGGACCAGCGCCGGGTCGCACGCCGTGGAATCGATGGTCGAGTCCTCGCATTCTTCGGCATTGTGGAAGGGCGAGGCCTCGCGAAATGGAAATCGGGGTCGGTCAGTGCCGGCCGAGCCGATCTGACCAGGGAAACGTAGATAGCTATCGAAATGGGAGGATCGGATTGCCTCCGCAGGGGGAAACGATTGCAGGGAAGGCGAAAGAACTATCACAACCATGGTTGCAGATAGGAAACCAGAGAGTCGCATCAACCACAGCATATTCGCCTGTTAGTAGTTGACGACTACGCCCTTCCGCTGGTTGGCAAATTTATCAAATAGACTTGACCGGCCGTTAAGGAAGCAACCGAAATGTTTATCCTAAGCGTCGCCAGCCTACGGCGACGCCTGGAATCCTTCGATCACGTTGAGTTGGAAATGAAATCACTACAGACCACGCCCAAAGATATCGAGACCCATGCGAAGGAGAAATGGAGGAAAAGGGGATTGGCGGTGATCGTACCGCCGTGAGAGTATCCGCTCTGATTTTCAACTTCAGTCCGCCAGGGTAGTCCTAAAGCGGTTGTGCCTTCGATCCGCCACCTCGCTCCTTTCCTCTCCGTTGAAGGAAGCGGCGGAAATCAAGCGGCTGTCCCAAAATTATCATACGTATAGTTATTTTAGCTCCAGAAGACCACCTCTTATTAAAAGTTTTTTTTTTTGGAAGAATATATTTTATAAAATTTAATGTAATCATATGTAAGTTTATCAAATTATTTCGATCATGAAATGGGACACTACATCAATAACAAAATGTTCAATGATAACTTTTTACTAATTTTAGAACATTTTTTAATCAATTATGCATTCAAATATTGTGTTTTGAAAAAGGTTTAGATGAGAAAAAGGAGTTTTATAAACTTTATGAACAAAGCTAAAAGATTACAACAGGTGTACGAACTACCACTATGTGAGCTCATTTAATTGTCCCGATGACTAACCTTTACATCATAGTATTGTCTCATGAGTTTAATAGAAGGATATTAATTAAAATAATAATTTTTTTATATAGCTGAATATCTTAATGTTTTCTAAAGTGACATGATGTAGAATTTTACTTTCACTGTTTTTAGTGGTGGGCATGATTTTGTTCCTCCAATCCTAACTGTGTTTGGAAACAAAATAGTCCAATTTCAAATGTACAAATCATGATAGGAACAAACTTGTAGATTTATTTGCGCTTGTTATGTGATAAAATATCGGGGTAAAACAAATAAATTTATATAATTGAGCCTAGTATGTTTATTTGATGATTTATCAATAATTGAGTGCTAATCCGTTGGAAATTCAAAATTCAAAAATTGAATTCAATCTTACACAAATGCTGGATGTAGAAGAGAAAGATGGTTTTTTCTAAAACCGTTTTTGTTGCTGAACAAATTCCTTCTGATTTACTCGTGAAATCTCTTGAAGTTTCTGAACCGTTGGTAGCTCAAAATTTAATTGAATTCAAACTTACTCATATGCCGGATGAAGAAGAGGTGGCCGTTAATCCTGTATCAGATCTTGTTTCTGATTTGGCTCTTCCTTCAGGTTATATCGTGACTGAGTCAGAGGTTGTTGCTAAACAGAATTCTGTTTCGCCTATAGCTAACTCAGTAAAGAATAATGTATTGGAAGTTACTATTGATGGAATGGGAGGAGTATGTGGCGAATTTATTACTCCTACTTCTGAGATTAATTTAAATTTTAAAAAGATTGTGTTAATGAAGAAAAAAAATGCGTCTAAGAAGGAAGGTGGCTCTTCTGGGTCTAAACACAAACTGTTTAAAGAACTCCAATCCTTGGGATCGGTGGAAGATCTACCTAGAAGAAGGAAGGATGATATCAGATTGAAGAATTGTATGAGAGGTTCTTCACACTTTACTCATTAATATGTTTGCTTGTTTTTACTCTACAATCAACAGAGTAGAAAGATACTTGATGACAGAGCTACTGATCAAAGAGCATGTCAAATTACTAATTGTGGATTTTCGATTTTGGAACAGGCATCTGAAATACCTATTGGTAGTAATCTTAGGTGTTTTGTGGATGTCGGTGAATACTTGTATTTTCTTTCTAGTTATGTTTTGTAGCTTCTTTTTCTTTCTTTTAGCTTTATATTTATTTATTAAACTTAGTCTAATTGCTTATGGGATCGGTACTAGGTCCCATTTTTTAGCCGGTTGGGAACTCTGGGATACTAATCAACCTTTCAGGTTGTTTAATTTTTTGTATATCCTGCATCTCAAGGGTTTTAAAATGGAAAATAGTGGGTCTCATTTCAATTATTATAAGTTTATTTTAACAAATATGCTTTCAATAAGGGTCCTTTTTCTTTTCGATCAAGGAACCATTAGTTTTTATTTGGTTCTAGTTTGTATTAGGATGTTATTTCTTTTAATTTAATGCAATAATTGCATTTCTTCAAAAAAAAAAGTGATGTACTACATAGTCTACCATGGGAGATGTTAGAAGGACTTAAAAGAATTAAGTATTGTTTCTTCCCCTTTATATTCTCTTTGCTTTTCTAGAGTTGCCAGCGAACTCAATCCATCATTTCTTCAAGTTACCATTTAAGATATATCTTGTAAAAACATTGCTAACAAGACATGTAGAAAACAAGTCTCAGTATACTAAAATCAAGAGATCTTTAAACCAATTTGAGGATAATCAATCATAATCAACAAAACACTATAATAATTTATATTCTTCCTGATGGACTTAGATATTCATATTACGGCATTGCCTCTAACAAAGCTAAAATTATTTGTTTACTTCATTCCCCCTGAATGGATCCTTAGATTTTCTAATATTGCAATGTCTTCAACCCCTAAGATTCAGCCTCCTTGCTAAAATTGTGTCACATACCAAGAAAATTAAATCAAGAAATCTCCACTCCAACCAATCATGTTTCAACTTCATTGACAATAAGTTTTGCCTCTACCGTACCAATCTTCAATTAGATCCCACCCTTTTTTTGCATTAGCCTTTAGCTTGAAACTATTTCAACATCGTCTTCAATTTCCTACTAATAAAAGGTGTGCTTATGACATCTCTATTACTAGGTTGTCCATCTTTTTTTCATCTTAATTCCACATCCAATAAGCTCGAGTCAATCCTTTCCCATCCTTAATCCCTCCAATTCTATTCTTTGTCTCAGCCTTTCTTGATGGAAATCTTTAAAGTCCATCCAAACTCCTCTTCCAAGCATCATCCCACACTAAACCCTTCATAAGCTATATGGTCATTTTTTTTAACTAGTACAAAATGATATACCAGATTCTCATTACTTAAGTCTTGCACAACTAAAAATCCCTTTACACACACTAGATTGGCTTTGCATTTATTATTCTTGTTAAAATATTGCATATTCGTTCAAATTTTGATCATTGCATTGTTGGAGTTCATTGTCCTCTAAACCGAACATGAGTATCTATCTAATATATTTTGTTAGCCTTATGAGACTCAAAGTTCATTGTTTGATCTTGACAATAAATAATATATAATTGGATGTTTTAATATATTAATAAGTATTTAGGGTCGGCTTACATCATAAAATGTATGTTTTATGAGATAAGATAGTATGTTGTGTTTATTTAGATTTTGCAATTGATTTGTTTGAATGAAATAGCATATTTCTAATTTGTTGTGAAATCAAAATTAGTGTGTGTTGAAATAGAATCTTTTTTTCCTTATAAACAAATTACATATTTGAGGAAATCAAACATTATAATTGCTAAAATTAATTACAAGTTTACTTAAATTAATTTTTAGATTTGCTAAAATTAGATTTTACATTTCCTGAAATTATCTTTAGGGTTTGCAAAATTCAAACTCTATATTTAACAAATTTATATCTCATATTTGCTGAAAACTATTTCATTTTTGTGAAAACTCAATCATTATTTTGTTGAAACTAGTTTACATATTTGCTAGAATTTATTTAACTACTTGCAAAATATATTCATAGAATTTATTTGCAGGGTGTCAATTCATATTTTTCTCATTTTATAATGTTTTAAAATGCTAATTTTTTTTATTTCAATTTGTGAAGACCATCAGTTCATTTGCTGAGATAAATTATTAAAAAATACTTTTGCATTTGTAGGATTTAATCTTTGGAATTTATTTTTTTGAAAATTATTTAGAGCATTTTTTATATATCCTCAAAAAATTATCTTGATCGGGCACGAATCTTGAGGCAAAATCGAGTCGAAAACTTCAAAATTTAAATCCAGGATCACCTTATTACAGTCAAACCGAGCGTCTCAGAAATACGAACTCAACAACACCAAATTTGACTAAATCCGAGCCCATATGAGTCCAAATCAAGCACCCGAAGCACTGTTGGAAAGTTCAAACCACAATTTGAGTTACCAAACGATTTCCAAATATGACGTTCTTATAGTCGAATTGAGCGACTCAATGAGAAAAATCCAACAAGCCCAAGATCGCCGAATTCTGACATCATTAAGACCTTCAAATGTCTAATGAATGGTGCACAATCAAGGGATTCAATATCGACCGTCCATCAGACCAGTCCCTATTTAAGCGTGATCTCTCACCTAATTACAAGCCATGCCACTCCAGAATATTTATAAATAGATACCTCATTTCTCATGAGTGGGGACCCAAGCAAGAAGAAGAGAAGAGAAGAAGAAGAGAAGATGAAGAGAAGGATTGGAGGGAATAAACTCCTCGATGACCACTGTCAGAATTCTGCTCGATGCCCGAGTGACGTCAGAATTCTGCCGGATGCCCGAGTAACACTGGAATTCTACTGGACACCCAAATGACGCCATAATTCTTCCCAACGCAAGAGACACTATAATTAAACTTGACACTCAAGTGACGTCAGAATTCCGCCCGATCTCCAAGTGACGTCAGAACTCTACTCAACATTATAACTGATTTTCAATTTAGAAGTAATTCATTGTAATCTGACTGACCTAAATTTTAAGGATGAGTCAGCCTCTTGTATTTCAAGCAAACACTAGTGAAAATCTTTTAACTGGACATGGCCTCGTAGTTTTTCCCGTTTTAGGGTTTTCCACTTAAAAATCCTGGTGTATTATTTCTCCTCTGTTTGTGTGCTATATATTCGTAAAACACTCAGAAAAAAATTTTCTAACTCTACCACCGCGTATATTCTAGCTCGCAATAACTTGGCGCCTTACGTGAGAAATATTATCCCACATTTTTAAGTATTGCTTCAATAGTCAACAAGCGTAGCAGTCGCATCATTGGGGCTTCCTGCTCTAACTCCAATCAGTCCAAAAATTAGTCTATGAATCATAGATGCCCGATATCCGCCTCTTTTTATCCTGGGGGACAAAATGCTGCTGGAGAAGGAACCTCGGGACCTTCCTTAGAAGAGAGAATCTGAAAGATAGAAGAATCTCATAATGAGATCCTTCAACTGCTATGAGAGACTCGGCAACCAGCATTATCATAACGGGAGGAGGTTCTTCTCCCTCGAGTTCTACCACTGGCAGAAGATATTCAACTTAAACATCTTCAAGTAGAGATTCCTCTTCCACCATCAAGGAGGCATCTACAATCACACCAGGATAACGTACAAGCTTGTCGATACAACAAGTTCTATACATCCTTCACCCACAACTCGGTAATCTCGTATTCTTTTAAATATCCAAAAAGACATAGCCCAACCTTACATTGCTGAGCTCCCTCACAATGCAATATGTCAAGAACTGTACAGATTAGTATGGGAAGAATTCCTCAGAGGAGATGTG